GTTGACGAGACTTGCGAATATTGTTCCTAACACGGCGATCCCGAACATACCGCCCGCCTCGAATTGACATTCGAAAATGACAGAAAAATAACAGAAAGCGCATGACTATACAGTTCGTTTCCCTTTTTACACTATGTACAAGAGGTAGGCGTTATTTGGCGGTGCCGCCTGCCGTAGCGGACTCACGCGACTCGGCTGTGTTGATTTCAACGGGAAGAAAGCTTAGTTTAACGATCGGCCTTTTGTATTCAGAACGGCTTGTCTTGATGGTGACCACACGGGTTAAGCCGTCATCGCCTGGATGGCAGGCTGTGATGCGACCGTGCTCCCAGTGGCTCGGAGGGGCCAAGGGGTTGCGTAGTAGCACGATCTGGCCGACTCGCGCGAGTCGCTGTGCGACACGCCACTTCGGGCGCTGCTGAAGGGTGAGCAAGTAGTCGCTTGACCAGCGCCTCCAAAAAACCTCGGTTAACCGTTGGATCATTTGCCAACGAGAAAGCCTGTTCTCGTTGAGATTGAGCACGCTGGGCTCGGGCGGTGAAATAAGAGCGGCGCCGACGAGGAAATGACCAGGCGTCAAGGCTTGATAATCGTCGATATCGTCGGAAACGGGTGCAATGGGGCGCAAATTTAGGCAAGCCTCAATCCGGCAGAGAAGCGTGGTCATTTCCTCGAAAGTAAAGGTATGGAGGCCGACAGAGCGTTTCAAATGATGTTTCATACTTTTGACGGCAGCTTCCCAGAGGCCGCCAAAATGCGGCGCAGCTGGGGGCACAAAATGCCAGGCGGTTTGGTCGGTGGCGAGTAGATTTATGAAGTTCGGATCGCGAATCGCTTTCGCGTAGGCTGCGGATAGTTCGCGGTCGGCACCTTGAAAGGTGGTTCCGTTGTCGGAGTACATAGAGTGCGGTAGTCCGCGGCGGGAGACGAAACGTTGGTAGGCTGCTACAAAGGCAGAGGAGCTGTAATCGCTAACGAGCTCTAAATGAACAGTCTTCGTCGTTAGACAGACAAATAAAGCGACGTATGATTTCTTAGATTGGTGCCCGCGTCCGGGCGCGGTTCGGGTAGCGATCGGACCTGCATAATCGACACCGGTATGAGCAAATGCCTTAGCCACGCGATTAACTCTAGCATCGGGTAGATCACCCATGAGCTCGAACGGTATCTCGGCGCGTTCTCGCACGCAGCGGACGCACTTGTGGAGCACGGAGCGAACGGTACTTCGAGCGCGGAGGATCCAAAATTCACTTCGCAGAGAAGCGAGGGTGAGTCGCGAGCCGGCGTGCAGCGTTCTCAGGTGATGATGCTCGATAAGGAGAGTTAGGAGTGGGTGCGTTCGCAGGACGACGGGGTTTTTAGTCGAGCCGGGGAGGCAAGCGTGACGAAGCCGTCCCCCGACGCGAATAAGCCCGTCGGAATCCAGGTAGGGATTGAGTGAAGCTAAGGGACTGGCGATCGGCATCGGTTTTCGATCAGTTAAATGCAAAAGCTCTCTGGGAAACGTATCTGCCTGCATAGTTCTGAGCCAGTGCAATTTGGCTTGGTTGATCTCACCCGCGCGTAAGGACGTAGAGGGCCCTTCGCTGCGCTTGGAAGGCCGACACCTAGATGAGAACCGGTAAAGATAAGCGGTAACGCGTAGAAGTTTGGGCCATGAAGAGAAGCGCGAGGAGAGGTCCCAGCCGGGAGAGGTATGAAGCGCGTTGAGGCAGCGCTCCGGGCGTTCTTCGAGATTGTCTGACGGCGGTTCCGGGATGCGGGAGGGCGGCCAGCACTCAGGAAGCTGTCTTAGCCAGGCGGGACCGGACCACCAAAGGCTGTGCGTGGCCAATTCGTCTGGAGCGAGGCCTCGGGAGGCGCAGTCGGCGGGATTTGTTTGCGTCGGGACATGACGCCATGACGCGTCTGGAAAAAGCGACTGAATTGCGGCAACCCGATTGGCGACGAAAGTCTTCATCGAGATGGAGATTGACTTAGCCACGCTCGCACGATTTCCGAGTCTATCCAACAGAGGCATGCGAGGTTTTGCATTTGAAGGGCTGAGCGAACGTAGCGAATTAACCGGGCGAGCATGTGAGCGGCGCGTAATTCAAGGCGGGGGATGGTCATCGTTTTAAGAGGGGCCACTTTAGATTTGGCGATAAGGAGAGTGACCGAAATTGAGCCGTCTAAATTGACAATACGTAGGTATACGGCGGCGGCGAAAGCTTTGGTCGAGGCGTCAGAAAAGCCGTGAAGGGCACTGTGCATTGAGTGAGATCCGTGCCCGGTCCAACGCAATAGTCAAATAGCGTCTAGAGATGAGAGCCGGTTATAGTATTCGAGCCAATGGTCTAGACGTTCGCGGGGGATTTCATCGTCCCATTGGCATTTGAGTAACCATAATTGCTGCAAAAGGATCTTCGCTTTTATGACGACGGGAGTGGCCCAGCCCAGGGGATCGAAGAATTTAGCGATGGTCGACAGGATGGGGCGTTTAGTTCTGCCGGGCGAAGGAGGGATGGCTACGCGGAATTGAAAGCTGTCAAGCGCGGGATTCCAGACGATGCCTAAAACTTTGATATGCTCATCGTCCTGCAAGGTTTTGTGAGTTGCGAGTCCGTGATCTGATGGGTCGATATCAGAGAGAAGGTCGGGTGAGTTGCTCGCCCATTTGCGAAGCCGAAAGCCGCCTTTGGCGAGCAGCTCGACTAATTGATCGCGCGTCTGACGGGCAAGGATAAGATCATCCGCGCCGAAGGCGCAGTCATCAACGTAAGTCTTGTCACGTAGAACCGGGATTGCTAGAGGGAATTGAGCTCCGTGATCCTTGGCAAGTTGCTCTAAAACGCGTAGCGCGATGTATGCAGCGGCGGCGGTGCCGTACGTAACGGTGAGGAGGAGGTACTCAATTATCGGATCGAGAGGGGAGGAGCGCCAAAGAATTCACTGGTAGTTAACATCGAGGGCATGGATGCGGATTTGCCGATACATTTTAGCGATGTCGGCTGTATAGACAGCGGTGTTGACGCCGTAAAAGGATAACAGCCGCTAAGTCGCGCTGGAGTTTAGGGCCGATCAGAAGGTGATCGTTCAGGGACGTACCGTTCGTGGTGCGGCTAGAAGCGTTAAAGACCACGCGTAAACGAGTAGTGGCACTGCTGTCGCGCATGACGGCATGGTGAGGTATGTAGTATGATTGGGAGCTTTCGCGTGAGGCCAACGGAGGTGCTTTTATCATGTGACCGAGCCGCTCATATTCATCGAGAAAATCGCGGTAATCGGCCGCAAGAGTAGGTTCCCGCTGGAGACGGAGTTCTAAACGAAGAAAGCTGGCAAGAGCGGCGGAGCGAGACTCGCCCAGGGTCGGCGTTCCGTTCTTGAACGGTAGCCTAACGACATAGCGCCCTTCGGGCGTGCGGGAATGCGTTGCTTGGAAATGCTCTTTGCATTGACGGTCCTCCGGGCTTAGATGAGTCTCCGGAGGTATCTCCTCGAGTTCCCAGAACCGACGTAAAGCGACGTCGAGATCCTCGTGGACGACGCCGTGATGCGCCGGGAGAAAGGTAGGTAAGCTCGTGTGAGCTGGGGAAACGGGGCCGGAAATTATCCAGCCGAGAATTGTTTTTGAGCCGTGGGCTCGTTGTCGGACCCCTTGCGAACACCTTCGAGAACTAGCAGGCCGAATAAGTCGGCGCCGATAATTACGTCGATCGGATCCGAGCTCATGAGTGAGTCGTCAGCCAATTGGAGACCGGCTACGTGCTGCCACTGGTACGTGGTTTTGGTCCGGCTAGGCACATATTTAGTCAGGGACCGAAGGATAAGCGCGGTGGACGAGTAGGCAGGGCCGTCGCTAAACGCTGGGGTTATCGTAATTTGAGCCGCATGGCGGACAGCGGACCGTGAGTCGCCTACTCCGGTAACAGAGATGGAGCGCTTTAATTTGGGTAAGCGTAGGCATTGAGCAAGCGATTCGGTTATCAAGGTCGTCACGGACCCTGATCTAGGAGCGCGCGAACAATCACGTATCGGCCGGACGGAGCATACACGCGAACGCGCGCAGTCGCGAGCAAAATGCGGGAGTTAGGCGCCACTATTTTTGAGACAAGATGCGACGCGGCTTCACTTTCAATCGCATGGTTAACAGGTATTGCAGCTTGCACCGGCTCCAATTCGTCGGGCTTGGCGGAGTTCTCAATATGTAACAGCGAGTGATGTCGCTTATGACATTGTTTGCACGCGGAAGAACTCGTGCATTCTTTGACTGAATGTTTCATGCTGAGACAGTTCAGACATCGCCTATTTTTTCGAATGAAGTCGGAGCGTTGGGATGGAGTCTGCTTTAAGAACGCGGGGCATTGGTAAAGCAAATGATTTGTTTTGCATAGCGGACACGCAAACGGAACGGCGGAAGCGGAATGAGACGCGAGCGTTTTCTTTTCCTTTGACGCGGCTGGCGCGATGGCATCTAAGGCGCGAATGCGAGCGTCGAGAAATTGATCGAGCTCATTATAAGGTGGATATTCCATCGAGTCGCCGAGCTTGAGCTCCCAAGATTTACGCGTCGATTTGTCGAGTTTTTGCGCCACGAGAAAAACCAGCAGATCGTCCCAATGCTCGACCTTTCGATCGAGGCTTTTAAGAGCTTGAATAGCCGCGTTCGTTTGGTCGCGAAGGTTGCAAAGATCCTTGGAGGTTTCGGAGCTGACCGACGGTAAATTTAATAGATTTTGTAAATGAACTGTGATAAGGCGCCGTTTGTTGTCATAACGAGACACTAGGATCTTCTACGCCGACGTCAAAATTATGATCGGTAACCGCGAGATGGTCAAGCGCCTTACTTGCTTCCCTTTTTACACTCGAGCACAAGTAGTGCATACGATCTACGTTGGACAAATTAGGTTCGTTATGAACTAAAGACTTGAATCGATCGCGGAAACTTTCCCACTTATCTGTACTCCCGTCGAAGGTCGGCAAGTTGATCCTGGGAAGATGCGTCGTGGTACGGAATGGCTCGGAGAGGCTGCTTCCGTCGCGTAGAGTACCGAAAGGGGATGAATGGTCCTCGTGACTGGCGAGAACGTCGGCCATGTAGTCGGCAACTTCGTTGTAATAGTCCTCGCAGGCGATGAAGTAGTTCTGGGTGAAATAAAGGTGCGAAACTCTTAGCTTCTCGTCGGCGAGAAACGAGATTTTGCCGTGGATCTCCTGGCACTTGGCGAAAGTTTCTTTTAGCGTTGTAAAACGCTGTCGTGTGACGGCCGGAGTCATCTTGGCTTGACCGAGCTTCTTGAAATTAGGCAACGCACGAGACACGGCGTTCATATGCTGGTCTTGCATGACCAATAGTTCTTCAACCGAAGCCATGGTGAAAACCGTTGCGAGCGTTGCGTGGATATGCTTTGAAAGTCAACGCAGTGTTCTCCTTGGCGACGATCCGGCTCGAAGGACCAATGTTTCGTTGTACAGCTGATATAGCCTTAACAAAAGGCTCGTCCACCAAGGCGGAATGACTTTTACACACGTTTAAATTGCAACTCAATTTATTTTATTGGAAGCGGGCGGTTCGGCGGGTTACAAGCTCGAACACGACGGTGGCTGCCGTTTACAAAAGACGCTTATAGCGCGGGATTCGGCAGCGAACTGAGACCGAGCGCGGTAAGAGCGTATTGACAAATTTAGGCGATCATACCGGATGCGTGATCGATACGGCGACCGATTGGGTCGGTGTTTTGAGAAGATGCTCGGTGCGCGTGATCTCAGCGATGTAG